CAATAAATGTGACCTGCTATATTAATAGAACCAAGGACAAAAACCATAGGATCATCTCAATAGATGCCAAAAAAGTGTTCAACAAAAGCCAACACATATTCATGAAAAAGCCCTACAAAAATTGGAATACATGGTCTCTACCTCAATCTGATAAAAGCTATCTATGAAAAACCAACAGCCAAGATCATACTAAATCAGTCAAAAACTGAAATTCTTCACACTGAAGTTAGGAACAAGACAAGGATGTCCACTATCACCACTCTTGTTCAGTATAGTTTTGGAAACAGCCACAGCAATTAGAGAAGAGAAAGAAATAAAAGGAATAAATATAGGAAATGAAGAGGTTAAATTGTCATTATTTGCAGATGACATAATACTCCATATGAAGATACCAAGAACTCCAGCAAAAGTCCTCTAGACTTAATAACCAAATTCAATAGAGTAGCTGAATAAAATATCAACACACAAAAATCAATAGCTTTTATCTACACAAACCACAGACTCAGTGAGAGAGGAGCTGGAGAAACAACTCCTTTCACAAGCTCATCCAAAAAAACCCTAATACCTAGGAATCACCCTAAAGAAAGTAATCAAAGACCTCTACTCTGAAATCTATAGCACTCTAAAAAAAGAAGAGATTGAAAAGGTATCAGAAAATGGAAAGACATCTCTTGCTCCTGGGTAGGAAGAACCAATATAATGAAAATGGCCATGCTTCCAAAATTACTATATAGGTTCAAGGCAATTACAATTGAAATACTAAAAGTATACTTCACAGACCTTGAGAAAATAATTCAACAATTCATTTGGAACAAAAAGAGACATACAATAGCAAAAGCAATTCTAGGCCACAAAGACAAGGTAGGGGGTATCACAGTCTACAACTTGAAACTATACTACAAAAGTACTGTGATAAAAACAACATGGTACCAGCAAAGAAACAGATCCAAGGATCAGTGGAACAGATTAGGAGATTCAGAAACAACTTTCTATACACTCAGCCACCTAATTTTTGACAAAAAAAAAAAAAGAGTCAAACACGCTCCAGTGAGTCAAACACACTCACTGGAGGAAAAATAGCCTATTTAATAAATGGTGCTGAAAAAATTGGGTTTCAACTTGCCAAAGATTAAAACTACACCTGTAGCTCTCAAAACTCACAAAACTAAAATCAAAATGGATTAAAGAGCTAAATATTAAACAGAAACCCTAAATATGCTGGAAGAGAGGTTAGGTAGAACACTTGAAGACATTGAAATAGGAAAAGATTTCATGAATAGAAACTCAGTTTCATTTTAACTAGCACAAGGAATCATCAAGTGGAAATTCTTATTAAAAATCTTCTGCACAGCAGGAGAAACCACCAACAACGTGAAGGGACAACTCACAATGTGGGAAAATATTTTCACCAGGTGTTCCTTAGATAAAGGTGTACTATCTGGAATATACAAAGAACTGAAAATAATCAGACCTCCCAAATTTAAAGATCCAATCTAAAGACAGGCATCTGAAATGAATATATATTACTCAAAGAAGTAGAAATAGCAAATAAACATAAGAAAAAATGTTCAACATCAGGGGTCATTTGAGAGATGTAATTGAAAACAACTCTGAGATTCCATCCCGCCCCAGAAAGAATGGCTGCTATCAAGAAATGAAACTACAACAAATGCTGGCGGGGCTGTGGAGAAAAAGAACTGCTCCCGTGTTGGTGGGGGTGTAGACTGGTGCAACTACCGTGGAAATCAGTATGGAGATACCTCAAACAACTAGGATTAGAGGTCCCATTGGACCCAGCTATTCCCCTGCTGGGGATCTTCCTAAGAGAATTAAAAGAATCATACCTCAGCAATATATGTGCACCCATGTTCATAGTAGCACAGTGTGTAATAGCTAAATCTTGGAAACAACTGAATTGCCCAACAACTGGAGACTGGATAAAGAACATGAGGGCCCTTTTCATAAAATGGAGTCATAAAGCATAAAGAATGAGAAAATAGAGATAGTTATAGGTAAATGGATGCACAATGGATGCCATATTCTTAAGTGCAATAAATAGGCCACACATGTGTAAATACCTATTAGTTTCTCTGGTGTGAGAAACCATCTTTATAAATAGGGAGCAGTGGGTTGAATGGAGGGCAGATGAATGGGAAAAAAACCACCGATATATAATGTAAAAGTATAAATTCCCAATAATGAATGTTAGCATATTTTACACCTAAAAGGTACCAATAAAATTAGTGAATAAAGAAATTTTGAAATAAAATAAAATATATAATATGCATTACATAGCATAATGATCATTATAGCAAGCCCTTGCTACATTAACATGCTTATCAACTTTGTTAACCTGTAATCTAGAAAAATAATCTGGAATAGTACCTGCTTCATAAGAAAATATATAATATCACATATAATTTATTAACTTATTAAATAGAATACAGTGAAGAGTTTTTAGGGTGTTTTCAGTTTTCTGTATTGAGACAGAGTTTCACTGAGTAATTCCAGCTGGTCTTGAACTCATGGCTATCTTACTGCCTCAGTCTCCTGAGTGCTGGAATTACAGGTCTGCATCACCACATTAAGCAGAGTATTTGTTGTTCACACTTGGCATCTGGGAGCAGACAGAGCAGGGCTCACTGCTGCTACCCAGAAATAAGAGCGTTCATCTCTGCTACAATAGTGAACATGCATGTCTCACTGAATTATGATGTCTTTATCTCTTTGGGAAATTTACTCATGAGACCACAAGATGAAGAGCAACATTGAGTAAGATTACTATTTTTCAGTTTTGTGAGTCATCTCTACGCTGACTTCCACAGTGATGAACTAGTTTACATTCCCATCAGCAACGCTGAATGTTCCCCTTTTCCCTTGCAGCCTCATGACTTTTTTTTTGAGTTCTCCATGATGGATGTTCTTTTTGTGATAAGACATTTAAATTTGCATCTCTCTAATGGACACAAATACTGAAAATTTTCTGAAAATGCGTACTCATTTCCTTTGCCAGTTTATTCAACTGGATCTTTTATTTGGGGTGCGTAATTTTAAGTTCTTTATATATTCCAGATATTAGTCCTCTGAGGAGTACCTGGTAAAATTCTTTTCCCAGTACAATATTGACCAAATTAATTTTTCATGTCTCTATGTTCAGAACATGGAATGCCTGACTTATTCATGTTTCATTATTTATGTTTAAATCTGTGAGGAAGGCTTATGACTGCTGTACAAATATTTACCATGAAAACAATATTTTCTGAGAAACAAAATCATGATTTACCATAGCAATTTTTTCCATCCCCAAACAGGTTTGCATTTTAATTAAAACATATTTCTTTCCTGAAATTTAAAATGCAGATATAGAGCTCTTACATAGTTTGCTAAGATGACAAGCCAAGATGCCCTCCACTGACTTCAAAGCCATATTCATCCTGTCTCAGCCTCTCCTGATACTGGGACTAGAGGAATGCACCATCACATCTGGTTTAGTCTTTTTTTTTTTTTTGGTACCAGGGATTGAACTTGGGTCCTTGGTCTTCCGCAGCAGGTGGTGAAACAATTGAGCTAAATCCCTGGCCCATGGCTTAGTCTTTTACATGTTAAGTGACTAAAAGACAAACACTGATGTGTAATGATTTACTTTAAAATAATTTTGCTACCGTGGAGTGAACATAGGAGTACTAAAGCAGTGAACAGATCTCCAGAACTTTTATCAGTATTGAGACAGGGTCTCACTGAGTTGCCCATGCTGGCCTCCATTTTGTTTTCCTCCCAAGTCTTCCTCCTGACTTGGTGGGATTACAGGCCTGCATCGCCAGGAACTAAAATGATGGAAAAGTACATATGCCCAGGGTAAAATGTCCTGTATTCTGAAAATCCTATCACTGCCTGGAATAGTGAACCCTGAATATATTCCTGGTGATGGTAAAAAGGAGACGTGAGCAACTGGAAACTCAGCCACATGTTCCAAAGGGTAAAAAATAGACATTGTATTCTGCAGTGAATTACATTCCATGAATTACATCAGATATTTCAGATATAAAGTAGACATAATTTCACATACTACTGAACTGGTGAGTAATTTATTTGACTAAGCATGATTAAGGCTAGAGCAAACTATATAATGTTCACTGCACTATGGGTATTGATTTCTTGATTATATTTTCATGTTACCACAAGTTTATCAGAATGGGACCCCATCAGAAATTGAGAACCATTTGTATTCACAAACATTGTATAAAATATTTCAAAAAAATATATCATTGTTAAAAAGAAAGGCAAAAATCAGACAAGGCGACCAACTGGGAATCATAGTCACAAGTGCATAAGCCTGTGTGTTTTAACGTGTTCACACACATCTCAAATCTCAGACAGTGTTCCTTATAGTTAATGAAAAGACATTGTAGAAATTCATCTCTAAAATTGCTAAAACAGAACACTATCTGAATCAGAAAGTAATAAATTTCCTCTTTTTATTAAACTATTTCTTTTCCTTCATGGCCTTATTTCATCTTCTTAGTTAAAGCAATATTGATTAGAAAAGAGAATGTCAATCCCAGCAGCAAGGAATAGAGTAAAGGCATTTGCCTCACCACATCCAATAATTGTTCTTCCCCAAACAATTTCACTGTGAACAAAAATTCCATTGATAATGTTGTTACTGATAAATCATTCCATCATTTATACCTTTTGGAGAGATTTATTACTGTAATTCATGATATCCACCTGCAGACAAATTATGTTCTTGCTGACCTGTGGCAATCAGAAAATCACAGTGGAATGGTTTATTTTCAGATACAGGTGTTGGGAAAATTACCACAAAATTAAAAGTCATCATCATATAGGCATAAAAAGTAAAATATTCATGGAAAGAAAATAAAATTTTATGTAAGTCATAATATTGACTCCAACATGAAAGGAACTAGGCAAAATTACTTACCTATTATAATATACAAATATATTGGGATACGTCCAGGTGTTTTGTCAGGATATGAAAAACACAATATTGCTAATATACACACTGTGTGAAAACAATTAACCTTTCTCAAAAACGCATTCACAAGCCACTCTCCATGAAATATAAAATATAAAATAACATCAAATACAAAAATACCTTGTTATACAGAATATGGAGTGTACACAACAACAAAATTCAAATCAAAGCTAGTGGGAAATCACAATTAAAAAGAAATTCCCAGGCCAGGGATTTAGTTCAGTGGTTTTGCTGCCTGCTGCACAAGCACAAGGACCCGAGTTCGATCCCCGGTACCAAAAAAATAAATAAAAAAAAATAAAAATTACCAAAATTTGCTTTTCCATGCTTTATTCCTCCCAAATGTAAAAACAAAATAAAATAAACACTACATAAATACCAACTCTACTTGGAAGTGAAAAATACACTTCATTTCACCTTGTTTAATTAGGAGACACTATATGTTAAGTTCAGACATTGGCATACGCAAAAATATATAATTATGTCAACCTAATTTTTTTCATAATAAAGACCACAGATACATACATCAGACATTTATAAGTAATTTACTGAAAAACACAGAATGAATACACTTCAGGCTATTTCCATCTGAGAGTATATTTTCCAGAAAATTAATGAAGAAATATTGACATCATAATTTTCATATTATTCATATTATTTCTACAGTTCTCCATTATATGAGTAATTTTCACAGAATTTTCAACATATACATATATATATATTTGGTTTACACACACACACACACCCCACACATATGTAGGCTTTCTTCCCCATGTGACTTCTTTCATGTATTTAATAGTACCTGTGTATGCCGAATGCTTTCCTACATTGCTTACATAGGCTTTTTCACTAGTGGTATCCTGTTCATGTATTTGACACTGGATTAGATGAACTTTTTACACCTGTCTTACATAATTACTCCCTGGTGTGAATTTTTTGTCTATAAGATGAAGAGATTGCTTCAAATCTTTTCCCACACTGCCTACATACATACTTTGGCACAGTATGCCTTCTTTCACATATTTCATGGCACTTTTGTGTACTGAGTGCTTCCTCACATTACTATCATACACAGGGTTTCTTCCCAGTGTGAATTTATTCATGTGTTCACCAGTATTCTGTTGGCTGAAGATTTCCCACATTACCGATACACATTGTTTCTCCTCATTATGACTTCTTTCATGTGTTTGAAAATACTTTTGTGTAGGGTATGTGTTCCTGCATCATTTACATACATAGGATTCCCATAGTGTGAATGCTTTCATATGTGGCAATGACTGAATGTGCTGAACGCAGTCCAACAATGTTTACATACATTAACTTTCTCACCTGTGTGAATTCTTTTATGTATTTGATGATCTCTTTTTTTGGTTGAAAGATTTCCCACAATGCTAACACACATAGGGATTTCCCCCATTGTGAATTCTTTCATAAATTTGACAATATCTCTTTTGGGTGAAAGATTTCCCACAATGGTTACATATATAGGGTTTCTAATTAGTATGAATTCTTTCATGTTTTTGAGAAACATTCTTTCAGTTGAAAGATTTCCCACAAAACTTGCATATGTACCATTTCTCCACGGTGTGAGTTCTTTCATGACTTTGACAGAGACTGTGGTCTGAATGCTTTCCCACATTGCTTACATATATGGGGTTTCTCCCCAGTGTGAATTCTTTCAGGTATTTAACAATATCTCTTTTGAGTGAAAGATTTCCCACAATGCTTACATACATAGGGTTTCTCCCCAGTGTGAGATCCTCTATGTCTTTTGAATGAGGACTTCTCAGCAAATCCTTTTACACATTGCATACATACATAGGGTTTCTTCCTCATATGAGTTCCTTCATGACTATGATGCTGTGTGTACTGAATGCTTTCCCACAGTGTTTACATACATAAGATTTATGTCTAGTATGATTTGATTCATGTATTTCATAACAAGTCCATGTAGCGAATGCTTTTTTACATTGCTTACATATATAAAGTTTCTGCCCAGTGTATATTATCTTATGTTTGTGAAAGGAATGACTATGAGATAATGCTTTCATACAAACTTAGTTACATAGGGCTTCTCTCCGCATGTATTCTTTCATTTACCTGAAAATAGTATGAAGTCATAAAAATTTTTTCACATTGTTTTAGCCACGTGTACTCCCCACCTGATGATTGCTTTCCTGAATTTGAACATGACTGGTGTGCTGGAGGCTTTCACATTTTTCTTACCTAGAAACATTTTCTCTCCAGGGTGAGTTTGTTCATTAAGATCAGAGTAGGCTTTCCCATGCTTTTTATATTGACAGTTTCTCTCTAGTCTTTCTCATTTTATGTTTCTGAAAGGACTGGAAATCACTTCAGGTTTTTCCAAGTTCACTACATTTATACAGTATCTCTTCAAACCTCAAATAATTGTCTGCATCATTTCTGTAAAGAAAAAAGGACAAAAATATCAATCACAGTGAAAAAGATCTCCACATTAATAATTGATCCTGAGAAGTTCTGGTTTGATACCTGCTAAAAAATTCTGATAAGTTGACTCAATGGCATGGAGTATGCCTCCAAAACACCTCTTCTCAAATGAATGCTTTTCACTTGGGAATATTAAATTGGCATATATTTGCAAGGCATACTATCCAGTTTCATTTTAGGAGGTGGGTACATACTGATCATTTTTATATATTTTCACTCATCACTCTCACCTTCTCTCCTTACCCTGATCATCTTTCCCATCTCCTAAATGTCAGACTTTATATTTTCTATCAATTTTTTAAAATTTTGGTCCCTAAACATATTTTTGGTTTCTCATTTAAAATTTGTTTCACTTACTGTTATGAGATGGAGTCCCATCTAATTTCATTATTTGGGAAATGATATAAATTGTTCTTTTTGGCTGATTGTATACTATAGTTTTTTCAGTGGTGAGAATTAAACACAGGTCTTAGTAGGGGATTATATGTCTAGCTTCGTTGTTTTTTTATTTTGAAAGTGATTCTTATCGGTCATTAATTTGCTCAGGCTGAACTTCAATTTGTCATCCTACAGACTCAGCTTCCCAGACTGCAGGCATTATAAGAATGCACCACCATGGTGAGCCTATCCCACATTTTAATCATCCAGGCATCTGGTGATGGACATCTAGGATCTTTCCAGAGCTTGGCTGTTTTGAATTCCTTCTAGCACTTAGATATTGTGAATACCCATGGGTGACCTCCTTTGTGATACACGGAATGCATGTATCACTAACATTTGGTGATTTTAATTCATTTCAGAATATACCCAGGGAGGTACACTTGGATCCAATGAAAACTTATAGTTTTACTTTTTGAGACACCTGTATATTGATTATCACAATGGGTTCCATCTTACATTCCCATCAACAATGTATGAGGCTGATCTCTAAGAGTTTTAAAACATGGACAGCTCTATATTCTGGAGAATGTTGTGAAAACATCTGTTACAACAATACTGTCACTCATTTGTATTTTGTTAGCAACATTCCATGTTAGCAAGATTCCAGATAATGAACATGTCTTATTCACTCGGATATTTTAAAGATAAGTGCCTGTCAAAGTTCAAAATTTATTCATTTCATATCTGCCTATACACAATAGTTAAATGCAAACTCTTTTCTTTGATGTTAATTAGGAAATAATTTTATGCTAATATACAGATAGTAGATAGTGTCACTTGTTGCATCATATCAGTACTACTTTAGTTTCCTATATTGGAATATTTCAATATTTGATGATAACATTATACAAAAGGAACTCTATGCACCTCTGGAAATTTTTGCAAGATTAAATAAATTGGAACACAGCCTCATTTCTTCAGTTTCCTTGGTTGTAATATTTCTGCTCTCACATAGATTCTTGAGAAATGTTCCTTTTTCTTGTGAGGAAAAATTACTGTAGGTTTCTTGAACAAATTTTGTACTGTTCTTCCATTTGCTAGTTACCACAGGTTCTTTCTGAATTGTACACATAGAAATATAACAAGTCACTATATCATTATATAAAAATTAATAGATTCCCCTTAGATTAATGGTATAATACAATCAGGTTTGAGACATTCTTCATATGTTATAACATTCTACTTAATTAACCTACATCACTGAGCTGGGTGTGGTTGCACACCTATTAGCCCAGCACTCAGCAGTCTGGGGAAGGAATAAGTCAAGGCCAGCCTGGTCTTCTCAGTGATTCTGAGCCCAGCCTGAACTACACATAGCGAGACTCTGTCTCTAAAAATAAAATAAAATAAAATAAAATAAAATAAAATAAAAAATTTAAAAAAGGGAAAGAAAACAATCACTGAGCAAGCTTGTAGCAGTAAGAAAATTATGTTCTCCTTACCTATAGCAGTCATCATATGCATACATGCTTCCCACATCATATCTCTGTAGAGCCTCTTTTGGGGTGGATTCATCAAAGCCCTTTCCACCTTGGTAAAATTCACATCTACATCCTCAAAGGTCACTGTCTCATAAATAATGCCATGTTTCCTGTTCAGACACACACCCTGAGATATCTCAACTCCTCTGATAAACAGTTAAACTGAAGATGATTCCTTCAAATGTTAATTCCATGTCTTGGGCATCAAACCCATGTATATGTAAATATTTTCACACAGTAATTCTGATGCTAAATGGTAACACATTGCTAAAGTTATAGTTGAATAGTAGTACTGGTTCTCCTTCAGGATCACCCACATTGTATTTGTGCATTGTCTCTAAAGCAGAGCTCATAGAGGGAACCCTCAAATCACAATCCAAAAAACATAGGGACATATAAATGTCAAATGTATGGTTCTGATATACAATAGACTATGTCTCTTTTCAAATCTGGTCATTCACAGCGTTCAGTCCATCTTTCTTTGCAGTCATGGAGAATTTTGAAACTTGAATCTGGTTTCATAGAAAAAAACTTAATTGAATATAAAATAAATTTTATGAATAATAAAAATGCTGAAGGAAACACTGTTCTACTGGAGCAAGTCTGTGTATGAACAATGAAATAGGGGAAAGAAAGATGGCACATTATCTTGTAGCTCAGTGACACCAAATGGTCACTTACACTCAGATGTAAGAAATATAAGGATGGTATAAGGGAAGATAACGAAGGGATGGATATTAATGAAATACACTAAATGCAACAAAAATGAAGATATCACAAAGTAATTCATCATTAAAGACAAAAGGAAAGCTTCAACCAGGTGTGGTGGAATGTGCCTGTAGTCACTGCACTTGGGAGGCTAATATAGGAGGATTGGCATGAATCTGAGGATTGCCATGAGTTCAAAGTCCAGCCTGGGCTAAGTAGGAAGTTCAAGGGCAGTCAAGATTACAAAGTGAGACCCTGACTCAAATTTCTCCCCAAAATGGGGCACTAAAACAATGATTGTGTCACTCCCTACTCACATCTTTGTTTTGTTAAAAAATGATGGCTGTACAGTACAATAAAACACTAACATTCAACACCTTGTGAACAAGGTGATAGCTTGAATAATATACATGAGAGACATTCAAATTCCACCTTTCACATCAGTGTATGATTAGTAGAGAGAATGAGAAATGGATGTCAGGAAAGGAAGACAGTCTTCAATGGATCCACAGGTTTACAGAATATTGATCCATGATGGAGCTGGTTTACACATCCCTGGAAGAAATCACAATGTGTGTTTCATTTATTTTCAAGGAGAAATAGGTATGTATTTGGAAATATGGATTGTATACTCTTCTATTCTATGTGCATAGGTTACACACTAAAATGGGAAAGGTAAACTTGAATGCCTTAAGAATTTATAGTGAAAAAACACTTGGAGAAGAAAAAGTGTTTCCTCATAAAAAAATCAGGTAGACATCAGAAGTAGAAGGAGAAATTGAAATCTATGAAAATCATAAGAGATATACAAGAAAATATTTGCTGGGTACACAACATAAAGATTTTGTATACAGAATAAATATTAATCTAAAAAGTAACTACAACACATCTGACTCAAGAAAATCATTGAATATAGAACAAGATTCAACTCAAGAATATCACTAAAGAAAATTGAAGTGTGGAAAAACACAACCAGTAGACTTATGCAAAAATGGAGAATCAACTGCTACACTTCATACTCATCTGCTTTACTTTGCAGTTACCAATATTCCCAAGCCAGTGACTTCTTTCCAATATCTAGAAAATACACTGTACTTTTTATTCATGGGAATTAATGTGATTCTTTTCAACAGAACTTGAAAAATCAGGAATTTCATGGCAAATGGAATGGATGAGAAATACTTTTCCCTTCATTCACAGATCAGCACTTGTGAACAATAGTGAGACCAAAAAAGAAAGCAAATAAATACAAAAAACTCTCACAAAATATTTCTCTGTTCAATATTGATAATATTATTGAAAATTTAAAGAAAGAAAGATAAATAACACTACTCACTGAAAATCATACATGGCAGACTTTGGAAAAGTTGCCAAAGGAGGAGAGTGGTCATCAATAAAGCAAGAACAATCTGTGACAGGTAGGGTATTTATCAACTGATGCAATACTGTTTTTAATAAAGTTCTATCTAATTCAGCATGTCTTATCTTGAACAATGTGTACAAACTATCAATGAACTATAGCAATGATGTGAGCAATGGTACATTTCATTTGCACTCCTACAGGAATTGCATGTACATGTGAGTGCCTACTTCAAGAAAAAAGTGTGAGTTTAACAGGCAGTCCTTTCTGGAAGTTGTCCTTTACAGCATGATTTTTTCTTCTCTTATTTAACATGGAAACATATCATTTAAATTTTGGTATGATACACTATAAAATTTCATTTATTAATTTATTCATTATTTTCACTTCTCTGAATATACAACAGAGGTATACACATGCTTGGCAAGTGATCTAACGCTGATTTTAATCATAGACAATGTTAAGTTTTTTTTTCAATTTTAAGAGATTTTTAAACAACCTATTATGACTTCAGAACTGTGGGGATGTGACTGTTAAGCTTGAAATTTACCATCTTCACAATGAAGCCCTGAGTGGAGGATACAACTTGTGTTTGAGATCTTCTATTTAAGCTTATAACAGACTTAGGATAATAAGATGTGTTAACCACGTTCCTGTCACTGGAACAAAATATCCAACAACCTCAACTGAAAGGAGCAGGTTTTATGTTGACTCTGTTTTAGTTCATATCCTTCCGGTTACAAGGTAGAAACTGGATAGGAAAGTACCAAGAAGGAGGAAAATGTGTTCCAACCATGGCAGCCAGAGGGGAGGGAAAGATGGATGTAGCTAGACATGGCCCTAGTAACCCACCTGCAGCAAACCCCACCTCCTACAGCACATTCAGGTACTGCAAATATCAATGGACAAATCTACTGATGTACAGGGCCCACACACAAAAAAACTTTCATACTTAAGAATAATTTATTTAGTAGACACTGTATAATGAATGATACATGGTGTGGTGCTGAAAGAAAACATGACATGCAACAAAGCCCAGTCCCACCCAAACAGAAACCTCACATAAGTCCTGGGTCTCCCCTCAGTCCTCCTGTTCACTGCACAGCATGGTGACTAGTGGAAAAGGAAAATGCTAAGACATTTTATATGTATTTAAAACTTGAAAAATAAATACATCTTTGAAAATAAATAGAAGTCCACAAACAGTTACTCAGGTATGATCAAACTAGTTTGTAAAACATCTAATCAAGCATGAACTGTCCCTTGATCCCTCAGTGTCAGGACTTCTATTTCCCAGGTGATACTTGCCTCCTGGTGCTGTCTGCCTTGAATGCACTTTGTTATTGCTTGTGTCTAGATGTCCCCCCAAAGCCTCATGTGGTCATAGTTCTGGTTTTTCAGAGATGCCTGGTTCTAGGTTCCCCACCCTGGGCATGGATGGCACCACCCAAAGGGCAAGTAGGCTTGGTTGTGGCTAACTGCTGCTTCACTGCTTTCTGCCAAGAACTATTTGTACCTTGTAATATCCCTATGTCATACCAACTTGGTGTGGAGCCAGCCAATGATGGGCACAACTACAAACTGTAAGCCAAAATACACTTTTCCTCCTTTAACTTTGGATGGTGGACATTTTGTCTCAGGAATGAGAAAAGTAACTAAGACACACATGTTCTGTTTAGCTTTTGAAAGTGTCTCTCTACCTCAACAGCATCACCACTGTAGGAGAATTAAGGAAGACATAAACAAAAACCCAGGGCAAAACATGGATGACTAACATTGTAAAATCATCACGTGCTTATCATGTACTCTGTGCTGGAAAAAAAAATGTATTGTACTGCATGCTTTATAAAAATGTTACGCTTACAGCATGCCTAAGGAATCCCCAACTGAACCTGGGCTCTTCCCAGAAACAAAGGCTAAAACCCTGCTTGGCCTAGCCCACACCAATCAACAAAAGTCTGTCCCTATAAGTATGGGCACATCTCATACTCACTGGGCCATCCCTAGGAGGGTGCTCCCATCTTGTAGCACAACTGTTAAGACATCTCTTCTGCTTCTTCTGCATTTGCCACCTATGCTAAGAGATGATTCTATGCTAAGAGGCCTGGTTGGAATCAGTGCCAATTGATATGGGAAGGGGAGGAATCAGGAGTCCTCTTGCATCTCCAGACATTGTCTTTGCCAAGAAACCTTGGGATATGATTTCTCTTGCATATTCAGGATGCTGCTCTTTGAAGATAACTGCATTTACTGTAGTAGGTATTCTGCTTACCTGATGATTTGATAAGAAATATAAATGATACATAAGAGGGAATAGGGAGATACATATTTTAAAAATGAACAAGAATTGGATGGAAAGGTAGAGAGAGTTTGGGAAGGGCAAGTAAAAAGAATTCATATGTGTTATGTACATAAAACTCCTTCCAAAAATGAATGTCAACAGAGTATACAACAAATATGTACGAATAATATTTTTTGCTTAGATTCTTTTACTGGTACATTTTAGGT